TGGACAACCTGTTGTTTCTCATGGATGTTTGGAAAATGAGGCTTTAGCCTAATTAAGCTAGATGATTATGTTTAATGGTTATTGTATATATAATAATTGAACGTTGTGTAATGGTCTTTAGGATCATACTAGTTTAGTACTCCGTAGTAAGAGTATATATGATTGTATGAAACCTTGTCTATACTCTAGATTGGGATCAAGCATGGATAGTGTTACCGTATTACACACTCAATATATATGAAAATGAATTGAATTTGGGAATAGGGGCTTTATTTGGTTGATCTACTTGATCATAAAAAATTGAAGGCTAACAAAGTACTCCGTAAGTAAGTCCGTAGTATGGACATAATGAAGGCTATGTTCTCTCTAGGTTAGCCGGTTAAGAGATATTATTGGCTTAGCAATGTAGCATCACATAATGGAGATATGAACATAATGTAGATGTGAACATACTCCGTACTAAAGCTATGTTTTTTATATAACTTACGTAGTATATAAAATAAGTAATACTATGAGTAGTACTATTATCCGTCTCTAAATGATCTATCCTTATTTAATTTTAGGTGGTCTTCAATGATATACCCATTTTAATTTTTTTTACAAGGTCATAAAATCACGCTTTTGCCTTATTTTTTATTGATTAAACTACTCATTATTCTGCAAAATAGCTGTGCAAAAATTAGTTTTCCAATGTATTCCATATTTTTTTTTTGTAGGAGTAAAATTTTACTGTACTATTTTCTCTCTCTACTTTTTTGGTTTTTCTATGTAAATTTATATTTCCAATGTACTTGTATTACTTCCTTATTTTCTTTCTTAATTCTTGTGAAATTTGATTGAATTTTGACTAAATATAGTCAAATATAAATCCTCCATATAAATGCAACATGAAGGATTTATTTTTATCTTAAAAAAAAAAGTCTACTGTAGTAGATAGGGTCATAGCCTTCATAGGGAACAACAAAGAAATATTTACTCCATAGCTCATTAACAACTTCTCACATTCTCAATCGTACAATTACTTCTGTTTTTTCAAATTGACACCGTTTGACTTTTATATTATTTACACATTATATTTTAACTTGAATTTGTGATTTATAGGTACGGTAAAATACATTATGTGGAATTTTGTTTAAATTGTCTCGATGCATATTTTACTAATATACATCCACTTTTTTATAATTTTACAATGTTTATAATTAGATATATTAAATGTCAAAAACATATACCAATGTGATAATAAAAAGATGTCACGTAAACGAAGGTAATATACAAGTATGGGGGGTAACTATTGAAGAATGGAGATGTAAATACATGCAATTGAGTGGGATTTTGTCATTTTCATGTCTTGTTAAAATAAAGTGGGGGGTATTTCACCATGTCTTGTTACTATCGTAGAACTATGAACCTTGCCAGTATTTCACTGTCATCACTGGAATAAAACTTTAGAGGCAAAACCGCAAGACAAAGTATCATTTGTCATTATCATCCATTCATGGAATTGCATTGACCAATGATTATTTTTAGGAATATTTTTTAAGCAAAGGTCATTACATGTTGCAATCAATTTTACGGTACGACTCACCTATGCTATTTTGTTTGCTTCTTTGTTCAATTTTTGCCAAGTTCAAGCGAATAAATGACCAAAAAAAAAAAAAAAAAATATACTCCCTCCATCGCATATTATTATTTCTGTAATTAATTTGTTTTGGAGATCTATAATATTGTTCTTATTACTATTTTTAAATACGGAGTAGTATGTAAGGATTATTATATTCTCTTTTTTTTTCACCAAAAAAAATATTCTCATTTTTTTTAACTTTATTTATTTTACTTTCTAAATTATCCTTGAATTTTATAGGAACTTATGTGTTTTTTTATTTTAATGTACTTTATCCACTTTTTTCTCCCTTTTCTTAAATATCATGAGGAAAACAAACAAGAACTCTAAATCGGGACAAAAGGAGTAGTCAATTTAATCGTGAACCAATGTGAATGGGTATGATATGGGGTGTGGCTATTTAATTGAAATATGTGATATATTAATCATTAGTGTGTATTGTACATTGTCGATGGTGATAAAATATTGTCATTCGAAATCTTGTTTGAATTGTCTCATTGTAAATTATGTAATTGTAAACCATAAAAATTCAAACTTGCAATATGTAATTAAAGAGGCGGAATATAGAAAAATATACGGGAACAATTTTTTTCATTGATAATTTGTGGGTTACAACTCTCGTAGATCTCTTGATTCCTCTCTCCAAAGGGCTAGGGTTTGATATTTGTTTATAGTACGGGGCCTTGTCGGCTTATTCCATACTATGGACCTACAATGTTTGGTAGTAGGGAGGAGATGAGGTCTTTGTGACTTATTCCATCTGAGCCTAATTAAACCCTAGATTCGGTCCTCTTTATATAGAGAGTCGTAGAGTAAAAGATAATAATCTATGAGATTCAGAAGATAAATATCTTATAATTTTTGATATTATCTCCTTATTTACATATATCTGACACCTAATAATTAACAAAATTTCGGTGTCAACAAATGCCCCCTCGAGACCTGTTGTGGAGATTTGATGTCGGATGCAACTTGGTCTCGAAATTTTCTTGTAGAATTTGAAAGCAAATTTGGTATGCCCATTAAATCTACAGGTTTTGATACTTGAAGAGTGGAGATGAAGAGCGAAAATTGTCCCACCGAGCGTGCCAATTTGTAAACCATAAAAATTTAAACCCCTGCAATATGTAATTAAAGAGGTAGAAAATATACGGGAATAATTATTTTATTAATAATTTGTGAGTTACAACTCTCGCAGATCTCTTGATTCCTCTCTTCAAAGGGCTAGAGTTTGATATTTGTTTATAGTACGGGGCCTTGTCGGCTTAATCCATACTATAGACCTACAATGTTTGGTAGTAGGGAAGAAATGGGTTTTTGTAACTTATTCCATCTGAGCCTCATTTAAACCTATAAACGACGACTGGGAGAAGATGGGGTCTTTGTGACTTGTTCCATCTGAGCCTCGTTTAAAACTTAGATTCGACCCTCTTTATATAGAGATTCGTAGAGTAAAAGATAATAATCTATAAGAAATCTATGAGATTCAGAAGATAAATATCTTATAATTTTTGACATTATCTCCTTATTTACATATATCCGACACCTAATAATAAACAAAATTTCGGTGTCAACAGTAATTATTCACTTTTTTTTATTTATAATTTTACAATGATGATAATTATTAATTAGGGGGCGTTTGGTTCAAACAATGGTATGGATTTGGAATGAGGAATGAAAACTGGGTGGTATAGGGTTGAACTTGATACTTGATTTCATGTGTTCAATAAGTTCAGTTAGTTTTCTTAAAGAAGAATGATAATAGAAAATCAGTATAAATAATTTAAGTTCAATAAAATTAATTTAAGTTCAGTAAAAATAATTTAAGTTCAGCAAATATAATTTTATTTCAGTAAAAATAATTTCAGTTCAGCAAAAATAAGGTGAAGAGAACGGGGCTTACATTAGCATATATGCTTATAGGGGTTATTGTTATTTCCTAATAAGATTGGGATGTCCTATTTATTGGTATCTATTATTTCTTGTATGACCAAGATATCAAATTCATTTCTATTTATTACCAAGATATGACATATGTATCATTAAAATTATTTTTTCCTAGTTATTACCTACTTATTTTTTGCTCTAATTTCATACGATTAAGATATTATATGCTTTTATTAAATAAAGATATCATATTAATATTTCCTATTATTTCTGATTTTCTTTTCATAATTAAAGATATTTTATATATTATCCATTGGCATGGACATCTATATCATTTTCAAGAGATATTAGAGCATCACATGGGATGCTAATACATTCAAGCCAATAAAAAAATAAAGCATTACAATTTAATTTATTTAATTTTAAAATTAAATAAATCCAATCGCCACGTATACAAAATTAACGAATGAGATTTAAGAAATTATAAATTAATTTTAAAAAATAAAATATCTTGTGATATTTATCGAAACACGAATTTTAATATGTGGAGGTCTACACTGTGTGGCCAGGGTCATGTATTAAGAGATTACATATTCATGTGTTACTAATTAATGAGTTACTTGGTTGCTCAGGGGTTACTCTTATGGATGCTTATGAGACTAGACAACTCACGAGCCACTCGAGTTCGACTCGGTCAAAACTCAGTCAATACTAGAGTGAACTCGACTTGAACTTGAGATAGACTTGAAATGTTAATGAGTCGAGTCGAGTTGTTCATTACTCGACTCGAAAGCTCGTAAGAAACTCGAATTTCTTCATATTATATTATATTTACTAAAAATTGAAATACCTTGATAAAAAAATTTATTTTTCCATTAATAATTAATAAATAATCATTATTTATGTACTCATATCATCATATGTATTTCTCATATGACAAAATTAAAGAGAATGAATAGATGTTACACTGAAAAAAAGAGTTCAGCTAAAACGAATCAAATTGCAAGCTACTCGAGATCGACTCAGTCAAAACCCAAAAAAAAAACTTATATAGTAATTACTTTTTGTTGAGGGAGATTGGAGAGATTTATTATCAAAATATTTGTTTGTATTCGTCCAAAAAATAAATAAATCAAAATACAAGTTTATTTTCATGATAAACAAAAAAGTATTTTGCTAGTGTCATTTTTGTAAACAAGTCAACAACTTATATTAAATGTAGGTTATACTAATTTTGATTTATTTACGAACATGTTATGCTGATTGAGATATTTTGTTAATAAATACTTTCTTTTTAGTTGACATGTAATTTTTAGGAAGTTTTTTTTAGTTGACACATTTCCTTTTTGGGGTAAATGTTTTACCCAATTCACATTAATTTATTGTGAACCACTAATATTAGGACATTATGATCGTTTTATCAATACAAAAAAGTCACTATATTAAAATTAAAGGTTATTATGTTAAAATAAAAAGTCATTGTATTATTATAAAGGAAAAATGAAAAAGAAAAATCCAACCTTTTTGCAGTTTGACATTAAAAATTCAATCTTCATTAATCTCATAAAAAATCAACCTTTATACCCAACCTTTTTTAACAGGTTCATTTGACCTTTAACCTGTTAAACATATATATATATATTTTTTTTTTAAATTCTCACTTTCCTTCTCACTCCTCTTTACACCACCATCAGTTCACCACCTTTGCCACCACTTCCCTTAATCACTTTCCTTCTCTCTCCTCTTCTTCCTTCTCCTCCTCCTCCACTCTCCCTCATTCCAAACCAACGCCCAACCACAAGTCCCGCAGCCTCCTCTCATACACAACCTCCTCTTACCTCCCCATTCCTTTTCTATGCCCACCATAACCACCACCCACCATCTCCCTCACCCAACCCCGACAACTTCATCTAAAGGGTTTCGAAATTGGGGCCGAAAATATGAAAACTGGGGCCGAAAATAGGTGGTGCGACAGTGGAGCAGCACCGCCGAATGGAGTGTGCAAGAGAGGAGTTGCGACGGTGGAGTTGTTTGGTATGGGTTGAGTGAGGAGGTGGCTGCAACAACGGCTAATTTGGGTGGAGATGGAGTAGGGAGTAGCAATTGGTGTGCGGTGGAAGTATATTTGGTGGTTGGTTTGGGATTTCGGGCTGTCGAGGCTGGGCGGTTTGGAGTCAGTGGTTGCTGTTGTCTCTAGGTTACGGTGAGCGGTGGGGATGGGGTGGTCAGGTACGATGGGGATGGGATTTCAGGCTGGGCGGTTTGGAGTCGGTGGTTGCTTTTGTCTTTGTGTTACGGTGGGCGGTGGGGATAGGGAGGTTAGGTACGGTGGGGATGGGGTGGTCAGGGAAGGAGGTGTGGTTGGCTTTTCTAATTTTTTATTTTTTTTTGTTTTTTAATGATTAAAAAAATAATCGACCAATTAATGAATATGACACATAACTTACAAAAATCGGTCATCAACAGGTAATGGATCTGTTAGAGAAGGTGGGTTATAAAGGTTGGATTTTTATGAGATTAATGGAAGGTTGAATTTTTATTGTCTGCAAAAAGGTTGGATTTTTAGTTTCCATTTTTCCTATTATAAAGGTCATAAAATGTTATTTTTGACAAATTTAATACTCCCTCCGTTTTTCAATAATTGTTCCATTTCTCCATGCGCGGAGTTTTAGGAGAAATTGGAGAAAGTTATAAAATATAGAGGTAGTGGGGTTGGTAGAAGAATAAAGAATTGTAAAAAGCATAGTAGTGGAGAAATTAGAGGAGAGAGAATATGAATTAATAAAATATGATATTTGTTGGGTCTACTGGTGAGAGAAATGAGTTAAATATTGTAAAAACTTTCCAAATAAGAAAATGGAGCAAGTCTTTAAAAACGGCCGAAAAAGAAAGTGGAGCAAGTATTTAAAAACGGAGGGAGTAATGTACAAATCAATATGAATGATAAAGGTCCTTATGTTAAAATGAGTCGCTATGTTCAACATAACATAGTACTTTGGGTTCGTATAATATTAAAGGTTACACAAATTTTAATAAAGGTTACTATTTATTAACTTTATTAAAATTAAGGTTACTGTGGTTAAAATTAGGATCACTATATTTAATATAATATCAGTTTTACATTTATAGACCTCGGGTCCATAATAATTTACTGTTAACAAGGTTCACTCAAGTTTTTCCTCCCCGATTGTCCTCTTACTCTCTCTCTCTTTAATATATTATATGTGGCTAAATCAAATGCGTCAACTAAATAGGATCAAATGAAATAATTTTTTTTGTTAATCAGGGTGATGGTCACTCAAAATAAAAACTTCTGAATTGCGGAAAAAGAGAAAAGTACGAGTGAAAAATATGAAGGGGCAGTACAACTATACAAGACAAATTTGGAAATATTCACTACAACTCCTGCACTTCTTCTCCATATTTGCCTTCTTGCTTTCAAAATTCTCGTCAATGGAGGTCACTTTCTCCATAACCCCATCAAATACTTCTGCAACAACCTAAACTTTTCAAACTCTAAACCCCACTAAATTAGAACTTCCAAAATCCCAGAAAACTTCAGCATTTATTCTCTCAATGCAACCCTCACATTTCCAATTTACTGGTAAGTTTAATTTTCAAGTTATTCGTCGTTTTTTTTGCCGGAATTCTTCAATTTTAGCCAATTTCTCTCTCCACTAACTCTAAATTTGTCAAAATTTTCCTACATTTTACTTTGAAGAGATACCCATTTTGTCAATTTCATTCTTCCCCTGTTTTTGATACGTGAAAACCTAACCATGGAAATTGTAAATTATGGAAGTAAACATAGTAATAATCATAATTCTAGGGTTACATTTTCTCGTGATTTCCCACCTGGGTGTGGGTGTGTAAATGCAAATTCACCCTTTATGATTTTGTCTGATAAGAAATCAGTTCATCATTATGCAAGAGATTTCCCTCTTGGGTGTTGTCCAAATGGGCCTAAAATCACTCAATTTGGTGGAGATTTAAGTGATTGGAGGCGTGTTGTTGGGGCTGTGAGAAGTAAACAAGTAATGGGTGACAAAGAAGTTTCCAGAAATGTCCAGAATTTGATGGGAAAGGGGAAAAAACCTGTGTTGAGTAGTTTTAGTGAAGTGAAGTCAAAGGAGAGAGAAAAAGGGGTTGACTTGAAGAAACCTGTGTTGAGTAGTTTTAGTGAGGGGAGGTCAAAGGAGAGAGAAAAAGGGGTTGACTTGAAGAAAGCCGAGAAGGTTAAGGGGAAGGGGATAGTTATGAACAATTCTGGGGGGAGTGAGAGGGAGAAAGTGGTTGGAATGTTGAGTTTGTTTAGGAAGAGGTGTAAAGATATTTCAATGAGTGGGAGGGGGGTTAAGAGGGTTGATATAACAGCATATAATGAGTTGAAAAATGAAGGGAAGATTGTGAATAGGTCAGCTGTGATGATTGGGAATGTGCCCTGTGTAGACGTTGGGGATAAGTTTCAGTATAGGATTGAGTTGTTGATTGTTGGATTACATAAGCAGACTCAAGGAGGGATTGATAGTATGGAGTGGCGTGGGGGTAGAATATCGACGAGTATTGTTGCGAATGAGAGGCATTTAGACAAGATGAATGATCCTAATGCCTTGACTTATATTGGGGAAGGAGGGGTTCTTAAGCGCCATGAAGTTGGGGTTCCTCCTGATCAGGAACTTAAGGGTGGGAATCGCGCCTTGTGGACTAGCTGGAAGGAGAAAAGGCCTGTTAGAGTGATTAGAGGGCTTGTTTCTGAGAAGAGTAATAGTCAGAAGTTGTATGTTTATGATGGTTTGTATGAAGTGGGGAAATGGGAGAAAAAGAAAGGACCACAAGGGAATATGATCTTCGAGTTTCAGCTGGCACGTTGTGATGGACAACCTGCAGTTCCATGGCAAGAGTGTAGGAGGTCTCTCTTTTGAGGTTTTGGGTTGTGCCTTTTTGACTGTGCAGATCGAGGGTGTGCACTGCTTGTGTATTTTCGGATTAGTATTGCTTCATTTTGAAAGGTGTTAGTTACTCTAAGTCTCTAATTATTAGCCTAGAATGTTTGTGATTAAGAATCATGTGATTATTTTGATATATTGTCACACTTGTTAAGGCTAATATAGTTTGTAGGAGTCTATACTGGTCTGTTAAAGCTATTAGATTATGCAGATACTGAACATGTGACCCTTCATGGTTTATCTAGTGATAAAAGACACGGTGCTCCTTCATTTTCTTATTGCAGTCTTCATTCTCAAGGTCTTCTGTTTCTAAGATCAAAATCTTTGCATCCATTTCTGTACTTCATTTTATTGTATTTCTTCCGATTATTGTCTGGGAGGGTAAGGGTTAGGAAGGGGAGGCAGAAATGGTTCTGCAAGGTAGCTGTTGCTTGTCTAAATTCACAGGTAATGAAGGTCTTGGAAGCATAGGGCCAAACGCGAGCTATGCATTAGCAGAAATTATGCAGTCCGTGATCTTTTATGCTGATCTAGACGGAAGGTAAAATTACTCTTGTTTTTTTATGAGAGATAATGAGTGATGGTTTCGAATAGAGTGGTGATGTAAAACATCTACTGTGGCAATTTTGAATGTCTTACTCTGTAGAATATGTCTCATCTATGTTTATGTTAAAACTTAGCATTGGTGAACATTTGGTTGCATCTGTACTTGAATAGGCACATGGAACTAAATAAAGCTAATATAAGAGAAACTTACGAATTTTTGCCATACAAACTTTTGCTGGTCCTCAGAAAATTAGCCTAATTCTTCTCATGTGCACTTACAAACTCTGTTTAAGAGGATGAGTGTTTCTACTTTATAAACATGATAGAAGGCTTGATTCTTTCTTAACTGGTTAGTCGTGCATACTTTCTTTTTGGACAATTTCTTTGCAAAAACATCCTGTGCAGTATTAGAATGCTCTTATTTCTAGTATGTACCTAGATGGTTAGATCATTATGAAGATGCGTAGATCATGTTTTCAGTGGGTCAGATCTCTATTTGTTAAGAAGGTTCTCAAGGTTTATTTATGAATTGAGGATTTTGCAGATGGTACTTGGATTTGACGAGAATATAATAAGATATCTTATTTATTAAACGCCACATATGCAAGTAAGTCATGTCGCCATGATGAGAACAACTCTTCCTGCATTAACTCGAGTAGTTGCATTAAACTGTAATGATGAAGAAGCAATAAAAAATATTAGATACAAATAAAACATAAAGCAAACCAGTTTTTCTGTTAACAACTATCCATGTTTATGTCTGTCACATCCTCTGTTGTATATTTTGTTGTGTGAAATGCTATATTGCTATGCATGAGCTTCATGGTACACCATAGCCTATCTTTACCCCTGTGACCCGTCTTTAGCTGAGATTTAATGATGTGGGATAGTTATGTAAAATGCTTTTTAAATGCTTGAATAAAGCTTAATAAATTCAGCTTTTGTAGTAGAATCGAAACATAACAATGTGGATCATGGAAACCAGTTGATGTACTTGAGTTGACTTAGCTTGTGATTTAATGTGATGTGCCATGACTCATGAGTATGTAAAAGATAATTTCTGGAGCCTATTTCTGAATACTGGCTGAATGTGGCTTCTGATCAAGAATTGTTAAGGGTGCATACAGTTGGACTTCTCAAGACCTGATAGATTGTGTACTGATTCTTCTTTGTGTTCATGCTCATGTTCTTCTGCTATTTATCACATAATATGAATGTTTGTTTTAGACAGAAAGGGGAAATGATTTATTTGTTTCTTGTATGATTTTGGCAGGAAGCTTGTCAGTGGATGACATTGCTGGCTTAACAGAAATGTTTATGTCAATAGATACTGGTAATTGTAATGCTATCACATTCAAAGAGCTCAAAGCTGGTTTGAGAAGATGGTTCAAACCTCAAAGATTAGAGATGTGTGATCTGAAAAGTGCGGTAAGAATTTAGCTATTATGAAATGGAATGTCACTTTTGCAATTCCTCAACTGCTACACCATTAACTAAACCTTCTTGTTTGTTTCTGTTTGATAATCTTCTTTGCTGCAATTGTTTCTTTACTTTCATATTTGGCAATAATGGATTTGGTAACATAGTGTTAGGCAGCTTATTTACTTGACTGATGACCTCTTTTTGCTAGTTTTTCTTTGGATGATCAGACAAATTGAAGTAGGATTGCAAGAATATAATAGGATTTGTATATAGTTAAGACTGAGCCTGAAAGTAATGGTGATTTTATGTATTATAAGCATTATTACTTGTATTAATTAATTTTCTAATTTACCCTTAATGCATGTGTTGCTTACCTGAGGCATGTCCATAAGAAGGTACACCTTGCATGTATTCACCTTGTACTCTAACCAAGTTCTACTTGGTAAGTGTTAAGCTTTGTTATTTTGTGGTCAAAACTCAAAAGGTCAAGTTTCAGGGGTGTGATTTCCTTCCCTCAACCCTCAAGGTGCCTAGGCTTCTATGATAGGGGCTCACTCCTAAGATAGAAGGCCCGACTCAAGCCCCGTACTTGTAAAATCCAAATCGAGCACCTTGTCCATATGAATTTATTATTCTTTTAGTTATTATACTTTGTTTCAAATTTTATTTGACTATCCATTAGGTTTCCCACACAAATTAGGTATTAGTTGTTAGATCATTTGTAACAAGAATAAACTATAGAAATCCAATGTTCTGCTTCTACAGCCTATAATGCATTTTTCATTTTTCAGTAGTGTATCTTTGCAATGTTATCAACTCTTCGGCGCTCCTTTGATCATGTAAAAATCTTGGATAGGACCGTATAATCACTATGATTTGTTACCTTAATTAAAGATCTCTAATTGTGTGGTACTTGACTACGTGTAGAGCGGATCTTTGTATGTAACCTAAGAAACAGCAAATATGTAGCTGTAAGCTGTAAAGTCCCAAAACTCACTCTAGCCTTATGTCTTAATAGTGGGAGCCTATAATTTTAACTGCAGAAATTCTTCAGTCTTTTTCTATCTCTTACTCTTAGCCTTGTAAATCTCCCTTAATCACATTAAGTTTCTCAGCGAGAATTATTTGATTTTATTTTCCCCAGCATCAGTCATGGAAGGGGAATTGAAAAGATTGAGAGGAGTTGTTCCAACGTACACTGGAAAATGGGGTGCTCTGACCAGTGTGAGAAGGAAGAGATTTTGGCTCGGAACTTATGAAAAAGAAATCGATGCAGCTGTTGCGTATGACAGAGCGTGTCTGAAGCTTTGTAGACATAAGTTACTCAATTTTTCATTTGATACTAATGAGTGTGAGTTTCAAAGCAACTACTCTTTTGAAACCATAGTATCCATGATAAAAGATGGAACTTATCCTGAGAATTATGCTCAGTTTTTGGCCAAAAGACAAAATCTTGGTGGTGGTGTTGGGAGCGGGGAAACTGGAAGTGCTTGTATCCCCAAGCCACATGAACCAGTTATGGTCTTTGGCGTGCGAATTGGCTAAAGACCTTAAACCCTAGTCCTGTTTAGATCCTTTGATGAATCTTTGTTTCTGGTTATTTGATAAACTGAAAGTGCTTGTATCCCCAAGTTGCATGAACCAGTTATGTTGTTTGGCATGCAAATTGGCTTAAGACCTTAAACCCTAGTCCTGTTAGATCCTTTGATAAATCTTTGTTTCTGATTATTTTCTCAGAATTAGATCATTCTTTTGATGCTTTATGTAGAAGATTGTCATTTAAAGTTTATCCTATGAATGTTTTAAGACTTAATTTTATATAGCATGCTTTATTTGTTCTTGATCTGTTATTCACATCAATAATTAGCCTATTGGCTGTTGAACTTCTCCCTGCATCGCTGCAGATGCGGGGAGAGTAGTTCGACAAATGTATGAGCTGCAGGTTGTGCAATCAAATGTGAGGGTATATGTGAAGTCCACACAATTACAGATACTGCTGGTGGATTTTTACAGGCCCTTAACCATCAATGTTGTTTCAATTGATCATCCAGTAATGTAGGTTTTTTTTTTTTTTTTAGACATTCTTATATTCTCCATTACAATAGACGAAAATTTCAATGCCTGCCTATTAGTTGTGACCTTATCTGGGACACTGCATTTTAATATTAAATTTTTGTGCAGTATTGTGACTATTGTCTTATTTATATCAATACTTCTGGAAATGTTTTGAGAATCATATCAAGTGACCCGTATATCTTTCTGCAATACTTTGATTTTGTGTTTTGCTGTTTTATAGGATAAAAATTGATTGGAGCAAACATCTTAATTCACAAGATAAAACTAAATAAATTTATACACGTTTATATCCTCAAACAAAAATAGACGTTTACAAATAACATTATAGAAAAATTATAACTAAAATTTAGCTTGTATATATAATGTAATTCTGAATAACTGAACCTATCCACAAGTTGTTGTGAAACTCAGTTACGTCGCTAGCATCAACAATGATATCTGTATTTAAACTTTCTAGGATCGTTCCGGACTCGTTAATTTTGATTGGTTTAGTCGGGTTTTGAGAAATCCAAAAATCACCATTTGAGTTCCTGTTGATGTTATCTGGTCGTCCTGAAAGTTGGATAAATAGCTCGGCAGTTCCAGCTTTAGTACCGGTAAGCCAATACTTTTGCACTTGATATGTTGATGTTTCCGTAACAAGAATAAAATCTTTCTTCTTGCTCAACGCAACCCCATTTGCGAAGGAAAGACCTCGCATTAGAACAGTTACGCGTCTTGACTTGGGATCATATCTTAGCAGTCTTCCACTTCGATCACTTCTAGTAATCGCCCGAAATTCCCTATACATACAAAAAAGAGTTAGCCCCTACACAACTAGAAAATAGTACTCTGATATGCGTGAATTGAAATAAATTGAATCAATTATATACCATGACCGGTCTCAGAGTCAAATTCTAAAGCGTTTAAAAAATGAAATGGAACCTCTTTGGCACTGGTCGCGATAGAAGTTGCAACACCACCATTTCGACCAACCTTAACTAATCCAACACTTGAATCAGTCACATACAGTTCGCACGTTGCTGTGTTGAACTTCAAGCCCAATGGCCTACCACAATATTGTTCTGCCGGGGAATCATTTAATCTATCACATGCATCTGACCTGGAAAATACAAAATTTATTCCTTTAGAGTAAAATTTAAGATATAAATTGACAACAATAAAAATCATTTTACTAATATTAGTTACCGATTTGTTTATGATAATTAAGCATGCGTTAAAATAATAATAAAATAAAAAAACCTACTCAAACTTTTTTATTTTTTTTTTTTAATAAAAACGCCATTTTTTTTTTAATTATTTTTTTTTGCTTTTGCTTAAACGATACTACATTATATTAGTTAATCATAGGATTAGGACATAAAAAAATATGAATACCTCTCAGGATAGGTTATTGCAAAAACAGTCCATCCAACGGAATGACCTTGCCACTTAAGTATTCTACCATCTGAAACTCCAACGTACGGACCATTGCCCTCACAATCAAATGCAATAGATTCGGCTCCAGTCGCACCAAATCCCAGTGGAAGACGATGATATTGTCTTCCCTGTGGATGACGTTCAATTCTTGGTATTTGATTTCTAGGCGTATGTCCTCTTGGAATAAATGGAAATTGGGATTGACATTGTACTATAAAATTATTCAAGAAAAAAAACAAAAAACTAAAGATTGCGAGTTTTTGCATGGTTTAGGGATTTTCGGCTTGAAAAGTTTTATTAGAAACAATGGTAAATATTACGAACTAGTGTTTCCCTTAGCTCGTCAAGTGAAGAGGGAAAACTAAGGTAGACTGTAAACAGTTTTAGAAAAACTCTATAGTTGGAGGGTGTAATATTGATCCATATATACTACTACAAGTCTTATAATCCTAGTCCTAATCATATTAGAAAACCTAAAACCATGAGTATAAAAGTATACAAAATATATTCTAAACCTATGACAAATATTATCTTTATGTAATATCTATCACGTGTAGATTTATATGAGTAGCTTTTTCCTACCGCCTCTATACTACTAGCTTTGTTCTTATTTTTTTTTCTTTTTTTTTGTTATAGAAAAATTCCATAATTCTTAAAGAAAGGCAATGATTTTTTTTTTATAATTTTTTTTTAATGGATATGATTTTCTATAACTTTCTTGTCATTTAATCTTATATTGAAATTGTTTAATTTTTATTTTTTGCACTAATAAAACTAAAAAGCTCGTAACATGCTCTATATGTTGACTATTTTTCCAAATTTAGGTGTTACACAGACGATCTCCGTGCCTTTTAAATTATCTATAAATTTTAGGAAAATTTGCGAGGAAGGTCCTTTTATGAGGTCGACCTTGTGTGGAAGGTCTTTTTATGAAAAAGGTGGCACGAAAGGTCCTTATATGAACATTGGGTTGCGAGGAGGGTCCTTTGACCGTTCTCCGGCGTTGACCAAAATTTTCCGGCCATTTAAAATCACGTGCAAATCACGTGACCCCTTAAGTTCCCTTTTTTTTCCCCTCTTTTCTCACGATTTTCCCTCTATCCCCCATTTCTCCCTTATGAAACCCTAATTTTAGAGCAAAATTAATCCTTAATCTTCAATTCTTATCCCTGAAATTACAATTGAAGGCCAATTAAAGACATTCAACCATAGCCGGTGTTGCGTGCTCTTCTTTCCTCCTCACCTTAGTGTTATTGCTTGAACTTTTCCCCATCGTCTTCTTCGTTCTTTAATTTTCGCCAATTATTGGCCTGGTGGGTGGGTGTTCGTGGGGGTCGTGGGTTTGGGTTCTAGTGGGGTGGATGTTCGAGGTGTGGGTTTTAATGGGTGGTTTTCGTAGGTGGCCGGTTCTCAATGAGTATAGGTGGTTGTGGGTAGATCTAGGGTGGTTGGTTAGTTTGGATCGGTGGTTCCGGTGAAATTAAACACTATAACAACCACAATTCTAATTCTAATTGTTGTTTCCAAGCTTAATTTAAAGGGGAAACAGGGAAATTAAGGGAAAATAGGGGAAAAAATTAATTTTTGGCTGAGAAAAATTGGTCAAACGGCCGAAGGGCCTGTTCACATTTACTTAACTGAGCTGAACTGAACTGATTGGAGCTGAACTGAACTGAACTGATAAGAGCTGAACAGAACTGAACTGAATTTAATTGAGCTGAAATAAATATTTTATGAGAGAGGGAAATTAAGAGTTGAACTGAACTGATTGGAGCTGAACTGAACTGAACTGAACTAATTGGAGCTAAACTGAAATTAAGTAAATGTGAACAGACTCGAAATTTGGTCAACGGACCCTCCTCGTAACCCAATGTTCATATAAGGACCTTTCGTGCCAGTTTTTTCATAAAAAAACCTTTCACACAAAGTCGACCTCATAAAAGGACCTTCCTCGCAAATTTTCCTAAATTTTATAAATAATGATTTTTAATATTGACCAACTTATCCTCTTAACAAATTTAATATTCCTTGCTTAATAAGTTAATATGGAGTACAAGAACAAATTACAAGCAGGAGTAAAAAAAGAAATAAATAAATAAATAAATAAATAAATTTTCTAAAAATAAATGAGAACGCAACAAAGCAAAAATAAAAGAACCGCCTTCTACTAATGCCAAATTTTTGCTTTCATCCATTTTTCGCTTTCTCTCTCTTCAACTTCCTCACACCAGTCAATTGCTGAGTATTTTCTCACTTGATTCTTCAAGCTTTCTCTCTCTTCAAACTTCGTCTTCTCACCATTTTTAACTCTCTCTTTTCTTTACGCAACACAATTTCTTCCATTTTTTTTCTGGGTTTTCCCCTCCTCTGTTTTCATCTCTCTGTTTTATTTCTTAACAATGCAATTTCATCAAGATTTTCCAGATGGTTGTGACTCTGCAACCTCCTCAGTGAAGAAACCCTTCTTTGAAACGTCGTCGTTTCCTTCTCCTGAATCTTTCAAATGGTGGCGCAAAGCTTCTGCAACGAAGAGCAAGCCAAACTCCTCTGAAAAAGTTAAGAAAACCCCATTTCTAGTAAGGGAAATTAGTGGTGAAGATTTGAAGATTAAAGGGAATGTGTATGATGGAAAGAAACCCAGATGTAATCCGTATTTTGATGAGAAATCGAAGAATACCCACTTTCCAAAAATGGAAACTAAATCTGGGAATTCGAAGGTGAAGGAAAATGTTGATGATTCTGAGGTTCAACCCAAATGTGATGAAAAATCGAAGAAATCGCCATTGTTAGGGAAGGAAGATGAAGGAGAGAGAACGAGGGTTTTAGCAACTCTTAAGATATTTAGAGAAAAATGCAAGGAAATTTCACAATCAAAAGATGCAATTTCGAAGAAGAGAAATAGGATTGATTTTAGGGCTAAAGAAGAGTTAAGAAAAGAAGGGAAACTCAGAATTTGTTCTAGCAAAATTCTGGGTTCTGTACCTGGTGTTAAGGTAGGAGATCGATTCGAGTATCGAGTTGAAATCAATGTTGTTGGACTTCATGGTAGAGTTCAACATGGAATTGATTACATGGAGTATTTGAATAGGTCACTTGCTACTTGTATAGTGGCTAAAGAAGGGTATTCAGATAAAATGAGTGATTATGAGGTGATTACTTATATGGGTGAAGGTGGCATTGTTAAGAATAAGGAGGGTGTTTTCTTTACTGATCAGAAGCTTACTAGGGGTAATCTTGCATTGAAGAACAGTATGATTGCGAAAACCGAGGTTCGTGTCATTAGGGGGCTTAAGATTGCAGCTAAGTTTGGGAATTGGAGGAATGAAACGTTTACTTATGTCTATGATGGGTTGTATAGAGTTGTGAGCTATCAGAAGAAGGTCGGACCGAGTAAGAATATGGTTTTCGAGTTCAAGCTGAAGAGGTGCCCTGGACAGGCTATTGTTCCTTGGTTTAAGTTCAAGAATTCTTGAAATTTATGAAGTTTTGAGATGATTTTTACCGGCCAAGTATGATTGGTATATAATTTTCTTACTCCTAGTTGAATAGCTATATAGAACTGTTGAGAATGGATACTAATATGCAATGTGTAAATGTGTAGGGATTTTGCTGATAATACATGTTATAGGGTATTTTGAGTAGTACTTGAATTGCAAGGAGGTTTTAGGCTCAATGTAATAAATTTTGTTCTTGAAAGCTATCTTACACAATTTTCATTCTTATTATGAGTTGTGAGTGGTTTTTTCGACGATTTTGATTTGTTGTGCATGTTCTATACAGCTATACTGATTCTATGACTATGATTAGTGCTGTAAATTGCAGCTTGATTTATAATCTTTGAAAGAGAGGCTTAATTGGTATTACTACAAAGTATCATAGACGGTTATGGTTAGTGTTCAGCTTCTCTGGTTAACAATATTGCTGAGAGTGTGAGCCTATAAACATGTAATGGTACTCTTTGCTATTCTGTTTGGATGGATGATCGATTGAATGTTGGGTTGAAAAGCATTAAAAAAGTGTGATTGATTGTTTGATGCTCCAGTTCTCCACCCACATACTGTCATATGTGGATGCAGCTTTATTTGCTGTGCTTGTAGAGAGGTTGTTTACTTAAGACCTGTAATTCTGAAGGCGATTGATCTAAACATAGCCTAACCCTTTATTCTTCACCATGACTCGTGTAAAAGCATTAACAAGACTTGTGATTCAGCCCATGATTTGCAGTGCTAAAGAGTTGTGATTCATTAGTGTACCTCTTAATTTCTTCCTACATATCCCCCCTATATCACTTCCACACATTCTTGCCTACACAGACATATCGACTGATAAATGTTTTGAATGCACTAATATGAACTTTCAGCTGTCTGTCAGAGTCTGCATAAGGGATGACTGATTCTTAACAAGTACTGAGACAGATGATGCTAAACTTTTCAGTAATCATGCATTATACCTTTATATAGAACTCTGCATATTGCATACAGCATACTAGAATTACCACTATTCCACTAAATGACTAAATCAGTGCATGTTTCATGTTTGTACGCATTGGTAATTGGGTGGTGAGAGAGTACATAACTTCAAACATATGCATTCTGTAGTGGAGATAGCATAGCCAAATTTGTAATGTACATTTGGACGAGAAACAGCCATAGTGATAACACCACCTTCCTTGTGTCGAGTGTACATGGTACAATCGATTGTATCATGAATATGGTAGAATAATTATTTTCTTTTCTTATACCTTCTTAAAATTTACATACTTTTTTCTCAGGAAAATCATTGAATTTATTGTTTGCTTGGTACTACTCTGTATAAAACTTTCTTCATTACTAGGAAAATAAAAATTACAAATATTATAACAAATTCCGAAAATAAATCATTTTAAAAAAAATCTGTTAAATTTCGTTTTTTTTTTTTTCTTTTCATGGCTCCATTTTTCTCTCCTCACACCAGTAGCAAACTCATACAGTTCAGTACATTCTCAGTACATTTTTCCCTCTTTAAATTTCAGTCTAATCACTCCACCCCACAGTAACTAGCTAAAATATTCCCAAAATTAACTTTGGCCTTCTCCTCTGTTTTTTTTTCCCTCTCTGTTTTTCTCTGAAATTTTCAGCCATGAAATCTAACTTTGACCTCAGCTGTGGTTCCTCAAAGAGCCGACACTTTGTCAGATCGACATCGTTTGAAAATCCTGAATCATATAAATGGTGGCGCAAAGTCTCTGCCATCAAAACCAAACCAAATTCTACAGTAAGTGTTAAGAAAACCATTCAATCTTCAACAATGAAATACAGAGATAATAATATTATTATTCATAAAAATTCTTCTGGCAGCTTTAAACGCAAGGCATTCCTTTTTTCTGATGAGAATTTTAAGAAAACCCCGTTAAATAGGAAGGAAGATGGAGGAGAAAGGGTGAGGGTTTTGAGAACTCTTTCAATGTTCAGAGCGAAATGCAAGGAAATCTCAAGATCCCGAGTTTCGGTTTCAGTAAAGGATATAAGAAGGATTGATTTCAAAGCTAAGGAAGAGCTAATAAAACAGGGGGAAATCCAAATTTCTTCAAGCAAAGTCATAGGTCCTGTACCAGGTGTTGAGGTTGGGGATCGATTCGAGTACCGGGTTGAACTGACTATTGTAGGACTACACGGAAGAATTCAACATGGGATTGATTACATGGAGTATAAAGGGAAGTCTCTTGTTACTTGTGTAGTGGCTAAAGAAGGGTATTTTGATAAAATGGATGATTCTCAGGTGATCACTTATACCGGGGAAGGCGGCATTGCTAGGAACAAGGAGGGAGTTTTTCCTAAGGATCAGAAGCTTGTTAGTGGTAATCTTGCTATGAAGAATAGCATGATCGCCAAGAACGATGTTCGTGTCGTGAGGGGGCTTAGGGTTGGAGCTAAGTTTAAGGATGGGAGATACGATCCGATTGCTTACATCTATGATGGATTGTATAAGGTTGTGAGCTATGAAAAGAAGATAGGACCTTACAAGAATTTTATTTTTGAGTTTAAGCTAAAGAGGTGTCCTGGGCAGCCTTCTGTTCCTTGGTATAAGTTCAAAGCTGCTTGAAATTTACAGCATGATATGGGATGTACATTTTGGACTGAATTATGCTGGTACAAAATATGGTGATCTATATACAGTTTTTGTCTTATGCTTTTGATACTTTGTATTGCATACCCCAAATTAATTATGTGTATAACCTAAGTGTAGGATCTTGGTACATTGGTAAGATTATATATGTAATGAGTTATAGGCTAATGTGATAGTATTATATAAGGACATTTGGTTAGTTTTGTATCATCTATGGACATATGCTTAACTAGTGTGGATAATTTCAATTGTATGCTTGTGTGATTTTATTTGCTTGTGACTTTGTAACGCAATATTGTTCATTGGAGCCTATTTTTCTAACCATTCAATGTGTTTAATGCTTCTTTATCACATTAAGAAGCCTGTGAAGGTAACCCACTCTAGCAATTTCTAGGCCTCATCATGCTTAGATTTATTGCAAATTTTATGTAGGAGGATGATTCATTAATTGTTCGTTCTAAAATTAAAAGAAGTGAAAGTGACTATTCATTACCTATCATAACAACTTTGATCCTTGTCTATTATACAAGTACGCGTTACGTGTGTCTATTAGCTTGTACTCCGTATTATTAGACCAAATACTACAGAATAGTTAAATACAATTACGTAAATCTTGAAAAACGGAGGCAGTACTCCACAGCTAGTTTTACGTATTCCCTTTGGTTTCCTCTGGTTAATGAAGCATTGTTATTTCAAGGAACATCTCCCCAACTATCTACTCATTCCATTCTTTACTTTGACTCGTTGAATTCTCCATTTTATCCTCAAATTCCAATCAAAACAAAAATGGTTGCTCTTCCAACAATCGCAAGATCAATCAATCAACAATGTCGTCGATTTTCGAATCCATCAATTTTACGTCGTCAATGGCAGTTTCTCAGCTTCCGTTGTCTCTTACTTGACTCCGTCTCTGATTCCGTCAAGCTCCGACGACTCTCCGATTCCGATTCCGGTAATTTTATCATCCTTAACTTCAGAAAGAAACCCTAATTTTATTTTTTAATTGCAACCCTAATTACCTGTAATTGTGTGACTACGACAGAAATTTCCATGTTTATTGAAAGAAATGAAAATTAAATGCATGTGTATTAACAAGTTTTGTAATTCATAATTTGTGCTGCTTTGTTCTGGTTTATATTGAACTCTATCTGCTACTGAGGAATTATGAGACTGAGTTTTTCTTAGGCCTTCAGATACTGCATTAGCTGTTACTGAGAACTGTTTGCTGGATTAGTCGTAAATTTTTTGGTATTCGGAGTTTTTAAATCAGTGTTATCCATGGATTTTATCGTTCTGTTTCGAGTTTTAAGGCCGAAATAGCTTACAGCTACAAGAAATAGGATTGAAATATGTACTGAGAAACTAAATTTAGTAATGTATCCAAATGATCGAACCAGGTTTTCTAGCATCCAAGAAATGTAGACACCATTAGCAGCTGCAATTGCTGCAAGTGATTGTCTCAATTTTTCACACTACTGACACATTAAAATATGAGTTGCCGTAATTTGTGACCGTGTTTTAGAGGCCTTTTGCAACAAAAAAGTTGCCATACTTATAGTAGTTGCTGTAATTTGTTGTTGAGAATGCACTGTGGAATGTTTTTGATGCTGCCTCTACAACTTCCCTTTTCCTATCTTCCCGTTGAGAGTAGATCTGCCCCTAGTTGGTTCCACAAAGTTTAAGACAATGTACCCCAAATCCTTCCTCTTATGTAGTTTATGAATATTAAGAGAACAGTGTTACCTAATTCTCTATCTAATTTGCCTTTTGAATTCATTCGTCATCAAAGTGGGTTAAAAATAGCCCAAAGTTACCATATTTCGCTTATTGCATGGAGTTAGCGAATTATGTAACTCTGTTAGAGACTATTTCAAAGGACTTTCAAGTATTTATTGATAACAAGTGAGATATAAGTATGGGAAAGTAGAAATTTGCTAATTTCCAAATATTTTTATTTGACGATAATCGTAGTAACAACAGCAGTGATTATAACCGAAAGTTGTGTTTGCTTTATTATCAGGAAAACAAAATCTCTTATCTCTGGAGATTATTTTGTGAATTCTACTGTTTTTATTATAACTTGATTGCTTTGTTTTTCAGGGATTGTTGAGCTTACCTTAGATAGACCAGGATCAAAAAATGCCATTGGGAAGGATATGCTTACTGGCTTAGAACATAGTCTAGAAACTATAAGCAGAGACTTCTCTTCCAAAGTCATGATGATTTGCAGTTCAGTTCCTAAAGTCTTTTGTGCTGGTGCCGATTTGAAGGTATACTTAAACATTATGTTGGTAGTTATGCTCTTCCATCAATCCCATAACCAGCTGGTGGTCTTTTTTTTTCTTAATTGCCTCTATGCCTCTCTATCACCACATTCATTTGGTGCTATCTTGAGCTTAGTTTTGTTCTGCTATATGTGTGTGCAGGAACGAAGAGCAATGTCACCAATTGAGGTCCAAACCTTTGTAAATACTCTTCGATCTACGTTTTCACTGTTGGAGGTTTGTACTTTATTAATATTCACTATTGGCATATGGCATGTGCTAATACTTGTGCAAGGAGAATTGTGTTATCTTTCATCAGTAATTTGTGCAGCTGTGTTGCAATTCTCCTTGCATTTTAACTTTACTCTTCTTGTGTTGGGTAAAAGGCAAATTCTTTGTTTGAAAATATGACATTTCAAGAACAGCACTGGCAGTACTTCTTACTAACACTTTGTTTGGACAGAAGGAAATGGAAGGAAAAGAAGGGAAGAGAAAGGGAGGGGGGACAAACACTCTTGTTTGGGTAAAGGATTGGGGGAAGGAATGGAAAGGACAGGGAGGGATCCATTTTCTCTCTCTCTTTAATAAGCATAATCCCTCCAAATTTGGAGAGATTTGGAGGGAAAATGGAGCTCACCTCCCCCTCCCTTTCTTTTCCCTTCCCTTCCTCCTTTTTCCCTCCCCTTCCTTTCCTTTCTTCTTTGTTATCCAAACAAAGCGTAAAAGTTGTGTGTTAATCAAAATATATTCTTTGGAGAATCTGTGCTGTTGGTTATTAATATTCCATCATGTAATCAGGAGTGACACTTGCTAAACATTCTCAGGCACTTAATATTCCCACTATTGCTGTCATGGAAGGAGTAGCTCTAGGTGGAGGACTGGAAATGGCCTTGTCGTGCGATCTCCGGATATGTGGTAAATAAGTGAGCTTCCTAGTTTTGGTGATTAGAAGTTTAAAAAGAATCAACCTTTATGATGCTGTGAAGTCTTCATCTTGATGTTTGTACTTGTTTGGCTAGGTGAAGATACTGTAATGGGATTGCCAGAGACTGGACTTGCTATAATTCCTGGGTATGTGCAGTTTTCACTTTAAAATGAAACCTTCAGCTGTGCTGTTTTTCAAATACAATAGATGCTAAGGCAGCTTGTTACATATCTGTTTGCTATTTTTCAAATACAATAGCTGCCTTAGCTTGTTACATATCTGTTTGCTGTTTTTCAAATACAATAGATGCTAAGGCAGCTTGTTACATATCTGTTTGCTGTTTTTCCAACTGTGCTGGATACGTCTTGATATTTACTTGTCTTCTAGGCCTCTAGGGCTATGTATATAGTGGAGTTAGAAGTTGAATACCACAGTATGGTATTGTTGGACACTTCAGGTAGATATTAGCATTACATGGTGCTCACAGAAGATAAGATTTCAGTTGCTGATTCCTCAATTGGTTGTCCCACAGAGCAGGTGGCACTCAGCGGCTTGCTAGATTGGTAGGAAAATCTGGAGCTAAGGAACTTATATTTACTGGCCGTAAAATTTCTGGCACAGAGGCATTATCTATGGGTTTGTTGACTTCAACTAAACTCCTGTCTGTTTGATAGAATAAAATCAGCTGAATTATCTTAGCGGTTAAAGAGGGTTGTGATGCAGGTCTCGTGAACTACTGTGTCTCTCCTGGTTCAGCTTATTCCAAGGGTCTTGAAATTGCACGGGAGATAAATCAGAAGGTTCTTTATATATGCCCTAAAAATTTATTCTTTGCTTTCTTTTGCTTTTGATTAGACATTGTAGTGTAAATCATGACATGATTATAGTAAATGACATGATTTCTTCTGCCTTGATCGGGCACTGTCTTGAATTATCATGCTTCTTTTTATCCTCTTCTAGAATATAAATAAAACTGGTTGCTTTTGTTTAGCTTATAACATGTTTGATTCATGCTACTTGAGGTCTTCTGAGTGTTAAGTTGTTTTATTAGTTGCTTGACTTGCTTCCCAGGTTTTGAATGTGGATGAGAGTTGATTTGTATGTTTCATTAAGCCCCATAAATGATGTTCCCTCTAACTTTTGGTGTTCATTTTTTTATTTCTCTTATTGACAGGGTCCAGTGTCTGTGAGAATGGCAAAACGAGCTATTAATGAAGGACTTGATATGGATATGACATCGGCTTTAAGATTGGAAGAAGAGTGCTATCAGAAAGTTTTAAATACTAAAGATCGATTAGAAGGCTTAGCAGCATTTGCTGAGAAGCGAAAGCCTAGATACACAGGCGAATGATTATTGGTAAATTCAGTGAGCCGCTTCTGTTGTAATTTTTAATTCTGTTCTGTTTGATGTTCTGGTTTCTTCCGCAGTTGAAGCATATTTGTACATGCCATGCCCCTTTTCCTCCAATGTACACTACTGTAAATAACTAAATAATTCTATAGATGCGTGTAGGTTCTCTTCAATTCTTCAAAATTGCTTGAAAACCTACCCTCCATTGTTGCAACATTTCTGTGTAGGATCCGGGTTAATAATATTTTAAGAAAAACTTTTGGGCTTAAAGGTTAAATTTTATCTTATACTCCGTAGGAGTTATCTAAAAAATGCATATAATCTCTCTTGATAAAGAGCATGAAATTATAGAGATTTAAATAAAATAGAGTATACTTCGTATAATACATGTAATTATTTATTGTTATCCTAATTTCATCCACTATTATCAAACTTTTTTTTTTTTGGCCTATGTTGTAATCCTGATGTCTGATAAGTTACTCTAATAACATCCGTGTTTCGTTTGTAACAATATTTTAGTATAGCTAGTCGTCTGGTCAGTGGTCAACTTGCCACACACAACTTACATACGAAGTACTTAGGTAGTCTAAAAAAGATGTGTTGGATGGTTACATACACTTACACCTAATAATAATAATAATAATAACTAGTATTTAGGCCCGGGCTGCCCGGCATAATAGAAATCCTTATTAATATTTAATTTTGATAGAATGTCAAGTAATAAACTAATAGCTAAGTGGTTAATGTGTTGGAGTGTAAGCTTATAATTGTGTGTTGTAATCTTGTAAGATTCATATTTTAGAACCAATTGTTGGTTCTTACAGGCGCCTGTACGGTGCAACGTACAGTCGTTTTGTAGAAAAGAACATGATATATAAAAGTAATGAACATATAGTTATAGTGAAAAGAACATACTATTAAAATGTAATGAACATATACCTAAAGTAAAAATAACATACTATTAAAATATAATGAACATATACCTAGAGTGAAAAAAAAAAATACTTGCACCAAAAAAATAAATAAAAAGAACATATGTTTATGTTAGAACATATGTTTATGTTCATTGATCAGTCAATGTAATGTACTTTATTTGCAACATAATGATCATTGTTTAATGTGAAATGTTTATTAAATTTTGTCTTCAAATTAGGGTGGTTATATATAGATAAAATTTATTACATAATATTATCATGTTTTTTATTAATCCTGCAGATGTTCTTTAGATATGAAAAAATATATAAAATTGGATGTTCGTTACAAAACAACTATATGTTCTTTACAAAATAACTGTATGCTCTTTACTTTTTTGCTGTACCAAGGTATAGCCGCCTGCACCTTAAAATTTTCATTTAACATATTGTAAAACCAAGTGACTACAATATGTACTTGTATCAAAAGAATAACAAGAGCAATATTCAGAAGAATCTGCAAATTAGAAGAATAGAAGCAGTGCGGAGATTAATGTAGCAAAAATTGGTCTATAATCTCTGTATCATTCGGCCTCTGTTGTACCATTCATTCATTCTTGTAGTAGTGGCAGATTGATGAAGACGACAGTTTGCGAATCAGAGGTAATGTGAATATTGTAGCCAAAATTGGCATCAATGTCTCTGTATCATTAAACCAAGTATAAGGATAATCAGTATATATAAATAATATAAGTTGTATAAACAAGTAACAAGGACGGTGTAAAATAGATACCTAAGATCGCTTTATAAATTTTGTATGTCTGTACATCCTCATTATAAAAAACCTGCACAAAAATAATGTATACTGAGTCTAACTATTATGGCTCGACATTTGATCAATAAAAGAAAAGAAAAGCTTGGAAATTACTCTTACCTTTGATAGTTTATCGTCTGTCGTTACAAAACGAATGGACATTGATATTATCGTCAAGATCAAGTATATCTTCAAGTAAAGTGTTCGATTTTGACTAGAACCTTCAAAACATCACATTATTCATAATAAACCAAACATGAATTAAGCAATCAATCAAATTATTTATAATCAACCACTGATTATATAATTTATATTGCATAGAAACAAGTCCAAAAAAAAAGGTCAGGTTCACTAAGCATACTCACCTATATGTCCAAGAACCACAGCAAGAACACCGAGAATGGTGATGAATAAAGTAAAAACGCATCAGCACAATAACCATGTCGTTGGATTAATTTTATAGCATCTACATTAATCGGCGCTAGAAGGCCAATCTGCAAGATCATATCAAAATTCATATTAGGAAACAATAAACCCTTGTTCTCATTGACTAAACTGAGGTGAATTGAATTGAATATTTTATAAGAGAAGGAAATTAGGAGCTGAAATGAAATGAACTGAATTGAACTTAACTTATTAAAGCTGAAATGAACTGAACTGAAAATAATCGTATCAGAATTGAATTGAACAGACCCATAATACATAAAATTATAAAACAAAATCATTTTTTTTTCACCTAAACCTAACACAAGCGGACATGACATAAGAATACAATACAAACCGGAACGAAAAAATCAAGTTAGTGTCATTAATACTTCTTCAGACAAAACAACACAACCCGGACACGAAAAATTGCGGGTTAATGTCAAGGATTTCTAACAAGCTTAATCAAATTGAAAATAGTATAGTGCACCCGGGTGCACTCGAAAAGAACATTAGACATATTTTAAAGAACATAGGCAAAAAAAAAAAAGAATATGCTAGTGTTAGAAAAAGAACATACCTATGTTTGACAAAAGAACATGTTTGTGTTTGACAAGAACATGACATTACAATGAACATAAAGTCTTTACAAAAAGAACATATTATTTTTCACGGTTATTTAGGTGTTGAACGTGTTTTAAAAAGAACATTATATTTGACAAAAAAGAACATGTTCGTGTTTGACAAAGATGTAGATGATCATTGGGTGGGTCGGGCCAAGGTTAAAAAACCAGCTCACTTCTCAGGTCGGGCCAAATTTTGGGCCGAAGTTTTTGGCCCAAAATTGTCTGGCCGTGCAGTGCGGGCTTTTCAGGCCGAGTAAAAAAATCAACTAAAATGCATAAAACGCATTCCCAAACCCGCCCAAAAAATTAAATTTAAGGGCTAGGTCCAACCCGATTTTGGGGGCGAAATTTTTTTTGCCCAAAACCCGTCTAAAATCGGGTCGGGCCGTTCTAACTTTGATCACCTCTAGCCAAAGAACATGAAGTCTTTACAAAAAGAACATGATAATACACTAAAGAACATGTTCTTTTTTCTGGTTACTCGAGTGATTGATTTTTTTTTTTTTAATGTACATTCATTAAAGAATATGTTGTATAATATAATGAACATATAGTTCAAACTCAAAGAACATAATCATCAAACTTAAAGAACATATTATGCTCATGTTCTTTATTAATATATATAATGTTCTTTTTTTGCCCATGTTCTTTTAAATATACCTTATGTTCTTTCCGGGTACACCATGCGCATGATGCACCCGAGTGCACCAACCATACATTATAATCAAATGGGTCAACAAGCCCATTGAGTGAGTCGGGTTAGTTTTGAGGTTAACTAATTTAATTTTCGACACGAACACGACACGATTGCCAACTCTAATTTCACCTAACTATATTTCATTTGAACTATTGATCATAAAATCTAGATAAAGAGTAAAAATCAAAGTTTGTCAACTAAGAAAACAAATGAATTATAAGGTCAGATCATATTAGTATACATAGGATTTACAATATTATTGTACGGGTATTGTTTGTTTGACTCAACTAAAACAATGTATGATACTTATTATGGCCGCTGTAATAATAGTGTTGTTTAATGTAATTCGTTGTTGAAATAAAATTCAAGATAAAAGAGGGATTTATGTTTATACCTGGACTAAGAAAACCCGAAACAATATTGATTTATATTTGGCCACTTTATTGGTGTCACCTTCTTCATTAGTGTCGCTTTCTTTTTTTTTTGAACGGAGTGTCGCTTTCTGAAAATAAAAAAAGAAAGTTATCAACAATAACACGAAAAGTAAGAAGAAATTCAACAAAAAAAATAGAGAGAAAAAGGGTTATTTATACTACTACTATTAATCTTTGTAATGTGTAACCCTAATTGTATTGTACTATATAATTTTCATAATGAATCACTGATTATATAATTTATATTACATAGAAAAATGAAAAAAAAAAGTCAAATTCACAATAAAAAAAAAAAAAAAAGCATACTCACCTTTTTCTCCAAGAACCATAGCAAGAACTCCGAGAATGCTGATAGATAAAAGTGAAAACACATCAGCACCATAACGTTGGGTTTTTCTTTTTTTTTTTGGACAAGACACGTTGTTTAATAACTACAGCAATCGTCGCTCGAATGAATCTCTGCAAGACCATATCAAAATTCATATTCGGAATTAATAACCCTACGTACAAATTGGAAGACACAAATAAATAAAATTATCAAGATTTTGCAAAAGATGACATGACAATATACAATACGAACCGAAAAAAATTGAGTTTGTGTAATTATAATTTTTTCATACAACACGAAAAAAGATTGTTAATGTCAAAGATTTCTACTACGCTTAATTAAGTGGGTCAACACGCAAATCGAATGGGTCTTCGGGTTAGTTTGGAGGTTAACTTTTGAAACGATTGCACCGAAACTATAAATCATAAAAGCTCTAATTTTACCTAACTATATAGCACCAGAACTATAAATCATAAAAGCTATATGGTACATCCGTGGTATTGACTTTTATCAATGATACACCTGTGTTTTTATTATTTATCAACGGTACACCTGTCGTTTGGACTTTTCTCACTAATACACCTATTCCGTTTGAAAAGTTAAAAAACCGTTAAAATTTTTAATTTTTTTTTTAAAATCTAAATTATTCTAAAATCTTTAAAAAAAAATAAATAACCCAGCCTCCCTCCCCACCCCATTGCCACCCCCTCCTCCCCGTCACCATCGGCCCCCCTTTCCCCCATTAAGGCAGCCTACCACCCTCCATTTCCCCCTTTTCGTTTCCCGACCCCAATCCCAAAACCACCCCTAACCACCGTTCTCCCGTCGAAAACGCCCCCTTCCTCTCCCCCCTCCCCCGGAAACCTCCCCTCACCTTTCCCCCTCCCTTAATTGACCCCCTATGGGTCCTAACCCTAAACCACCACCTTATTGAAACCCTAAAACCGCCGGCGAATTAAGGGAGGGTTAGGGCGTTAGAGTCCTTAAGGGGTCGATTAAGGGGGGGTTTCCGGGGGAGGGGCGGTTTCCGGGGGGAGGTGAAGAGGAGGGGGGCGGTTTTGAGGGGAGGACGGCGTTTAGGGGTGGTTTTGGGATGGGGTTCGGGAAACAAAAAGGGGGAAAAAGAGGGTGGTGGGTTGCCTTGGTGGGGGAAAGGGGGGTGTGGGTGGGGTCGTCGGCTCTGGGCGCTGGCCGCCGGCTGGGTGGGGGAGGAGGGACTGGTGGCGACGGGGAGCAGGGGTGGGGGACGGGTGGCAGTAGGGTGAGGACTGGTTTTTTTTTTTTTTTTAAAAAAGTTTTTATAATAATTTTTTATTAATCTTAAATTATTATAAAAGCTTTTCCCTTAAAAAAAAAATTTAACACTTTTTTAACGGAATTAACGGAAGAGGTGTATGAGTGAGACAAAGTCGAAACCACAGGTGCATCTCTGATAATTATTAAAAACACGAGTGTATCATTGATAAAAGTAAAAACTACGGGTGTACTATTGATAATTTCCCTATAATTTATAAATAGTGCAAAAATCAAATTAAAGTGTGTCAACTAAGAAACCGAATGAAATATAAGATCGGGTCATGTTAGTATATACTTCGACACTTCAACGGGTGTTTGTTTGACTCAACCAAAACAATATATGATACAGAGTACTTTTTATCAAGTTATAATAATAGTGTTGTTTAATGCAATTCGTTGTTGAAATAAATTTCAAGATAAAAGAGAGATTTATGTTTATACCTTGAGAATAAAAAACCAAAATAATTTGGATTTACATACAGCCTCTTCATTGGTGTTACCTTCTTCATTAGTGTCTATTTCTGATAATAAAAGAAAATATTCAACAATAACACGAAAAAGTAAGAAGAAATTCAACAATACAATACAGAAAATATAGTTAAAAAAGGAGAGACAAAAAGACATACTTGGTAATATCTCCTTGACATGTGAACTCATCTTGATCAACTAAAAAATAATGGAGAAAAAAATTCAAAGCTATTTGGTGAAATTCTAGTTCTTCATGGTGTTGAGAGTATATATTTATATTGTTGTAATGTGCAGTACTAATTGTATTGTACTACGACTACGCATAAATATTGATATATTTGGGATTTTTAAAAATCTTTTATTTTAAGAAGATAAATATTACGAGTATGATATCAGTTCAAATTTCAAAGATATTTTAACCTAAAAAAATCCTTCATAGATTCTCTATCCGTTTTCTAATGTTAATTCCATATAAAATCAATCACATAAAATAAGAAAACAAATATATTTGGAATATAAACATTAAAGTGCAACAAAATTCATAATTAATTTACCTTATTTAACTTTTTTGATTTTTTATTAGGAAAACAAAAGTCATAATTGCAAAATTTAAGATAAAAATTTCCTTACTTAGAGTCATCAATCCACAATAAATTAATTTAGGAAAAAATCAAGTTATAAATGAAATATATTTAGGTAAATCTTTTTTAAACGCCCAAAATAGTATACAGGATTAACATTATAAAACGGGTAGTAATTTTTTTATAAAATCCATAATCTATCCCTACCCTATAAAAGTCGGGGATCACTGATAGAGTATATAACATATTCCTGGGCCTTAACCATCAGTTTAAGCTTTTGGTTGAGTTGGTCTTTTAACATGGTATTAGAGACAACGTGACATAGAGGCCACGGGTTCGAATCTCATCCACCCCTCATTTAAAGTGGAATTAATTCGCGCCGGGTATGAGAGGGTCTGTGCTGCATCCACATTTCAAGCCCAAAGGGCCTTTCATGTGAGGGTAAAGTAGGTTGATTTTTCTAGAGACAATTACACCCTAACATCGCATTCGATTGAGCGGGTTGATTCTGTTACCGGAGAGATCGAGTGTGGCGACGGCGCGTGAGGAGGAATCGCCGGTAAGATTATCGCCCCTGCATTTGGTTTATTTGATTTGTTTTATATTTTGTGAAATTAGAATTGTTTTTGAATGTGTTAGGTTGCTTTAAGGTCATTAGTTAGCTTTTGATGACAGTGAAAATTATACATATTGGTGATTGTTGGTGGAGTGGACTGGACTGGTTGGCGGGGTTTGATTTTGCAATACTCTATTTTTAATTCATTTGATGCATCATGTTGGGTTTGCCACGATGTTTATTAAGTAACTAGTTTTTGGGCCCGGGCTATGCCTCAAATTATTACATATAATTGAATATTTTGGGGGTGGGGGTGTCTAGGAAGATTTTGGGGTTTTTTTTTTTTAATTTTTTGTTTTTTTTATAATCTTTATGAATTAAGATAAATTGACCAATTATATCATGCCATGTGTCATGATTGACCCCTATTGACTAACGGATTTAACGGTCGTTGGTCATTAATTGCACTCGGTGAATTTTTAAAAACCTAGGTTGCATTTTGGTGAATTCTGAAAAGTCTGATGGTATTTGATGAATTTTTAAAGTGCTCAATGGCATTTGGTGAAATAGCCGTTACCATTATTAAGATAAAATAATCACAAATAATACCCATTAATATAAATAATAAGAAATGGAGGTGATAATGTGAAAATAAAAAACACAATTAAAAATAAAGAAATAAAATAATATATCTATTGTTTCTTTTACTTAGTATTTATAATGATATTGTTAACGAACACCCCAAGGCGTTAGATAAGCATTTATTATATGAGCCTAATCTGATTTACTGAAATGAACTGAATTGAACTAGATATTTTATGAGAGAAGGAAATTATGAAACGAAATTGAACTAATTGGAGCTGAACTGAACTGAAATTAAGCTGAAGAGAACATACCCTACTTCCTAAAATAGTAGAGTATAAATTTGGAAATGTATGCCAAAATCATACGTCGATCGGTGTTATTAGTGTTTATATTAATTTAATATTTCTACTTTTAATTATTTTGTCTAACGCCCTCTAAATTGTCGTTAGCTTTTGCCTATTTATAATAAAAAAACCCTATAATTCACTTCATAAGTATTTACGGATGACTCATTTGACTTATTTATTAGAAACCGTAAAAAGTTAAATGGAGCAATCTCAAACCAACCCGTAAAAGGTGTAAACCACAACCAAACAAACAAATCCAGAGATTCTCCAATTTTTTTAAAAAACAAAATGAAAATTTTGACATTTGCTACCACTAAAAACACACCGGTTCACATTTATTATCGGTTTAATATTTTTTTTATTTTACTACCACCTAAATCAGACTTTACTAAAAATCACTATGGTTTTGGTATTGTACTAATGTTGTTGTGGATAAATGTGTTATGTTGATGTGATGCAATAATTAAGATTTTTTTTAATGAAAAGTGCATATTTGCCTGAAATAAGGTGTATGTACAAAAAAAAATTATTAATATTCAAAAGAGGTAAATACCTTTTACGGAAAGTTTTAGTTTCGTTTTGTGTTTCTTAGAAAGAGGAAGTTTTTAGTCTTCGTACGCCGTGATGTTAGGTCTTGAGGAGTAATTATTGGATAAAATTTGTTTTGTGTTCACTTGTTAGAGGTTAAGGGCTTTATGGTGCCTTCTTATTATTCTTAAATGCACCCTTTTGGTTTGTGATTTTCTTGATTTTATTTAGTTGTTTGTATATGGTAAAAACTCTGAAATCGTGTATTTGAGAGAAATTAATACCAACTATGTTGCTCGGACTCTTCATTTCACATCAAGTGCCCGTGTCAGACCTCGACTTTCGAACTTAATGACACTTGTACACTTCACTTTTTGCTCAAAATTATGGATTTTTTCCACAAATAGCCGAGTCGGATGCTTGGCTACGTACCCATGTCGGACATGGGTACCCGACTCCCATTAACATACTCCCTCCATCCCCTTTTGATAGTCAATTATGCCATTTTTGGTGATCCAGAATGTTAGTCACTTGTTTTTTTCAAGTAGCATTTATATTATTTTCTTACCAAAATTCTCTCTCATTTGCAAAAATATTTGTGCAAATTTAACTTTTCTTTGTAATTTAATTACTTTTTCTCTTCACTTTTTTGCATATCCAATTTAAATTTTTAAATTTACTTTTTCAATGTAAAAAGTGACTATCAAAAGGGAAATGAGGGAGTAATAAACCAAAAGTGTATCATCATCCTTGTGCCAGAGATTGTGAAAATGGGTTTTCCATTGGCTGTGCAGATTGTTCCGCTTATTTTCCGGCTTGTTGTGCCACTCATTGTACAGATCGTGGTCGATATAATTGTACAAGTGGTGGTGCAAATTACTGTGCCGTTGATCGTGCAATATTTGGGTTTTGATTGAACTTCCTGCTTCCCTGGACAGGTTGTTATTCCTTGGTTTAAGTCCAAGAATGCTTGAAATTTGTGAAGTTTTGAGATGATTTTTACCGGGCAAGTATGATTGGTATATAATTTTCTTACTCCTAGTTGAATAGCTATATAGAACTGTTGAGAATGGATACTAATATGCAATGTGTAAATGTGTAGGGATTTTGCTGATAATACATGTTATAGGGTATTTTGAGTAGTACTTGAATTGCAAGGAGGTTTTTAGGCTCAATGTAATAAATTTTGTTCTTGAAAGCTATCTTACACAATTTTCATTCTTGTTTCGGTTGAAAACAATGGGACCTTGCCGAAGGTCCGCTGAAATGGAGAAGATTGGATTCGGTCCAAGTTGTGTTGGGCCGAAGGTTTCCTGCACAGTGAACACACGTAAACTAGCCTCGGGGGTGTTTCCGAGGAAGGCCCCTCCGATGCTAAAGTCAGTACAATGTGTAAAAGGAAGACACTATGCAAGAGAGTTTGTAGCTTGAGGCTTTTGTGGAATATTTCTGAATGTAAGAGTGAGCATATGAATTGGAATATCAGTGTATAATGTGTGATGTCCTTTTGAATGTGTTAATATGATGGCTTTTATACCTCATCATACTTGGAGAGGTTGGGCTTTAGCCCAATTGCTTACTTTGTGGGCTGACTTTTGACTTTTGAGCAATTGGAGAGTTGAACCTTGACCTTGGGCTTTTAATTGGATCATTTAGTGCTCAGGCCCAATTTTGACTAAATTGGACCCAAACAACTTGCCCCCCAGACCCGATTTGGAAGAATGACGGGTCGGGTTTGATTTAACTCAGAAAAGGAGGGAAGTAAATGATTTAATTGATCCAAAAATTTGAATTTAAACCGTAATTAATGAGATAACAACGGTTAATGATTTGCGGAAGTTGGACGGATAATGGGCAGTTTAATCACAAGACATGTGTTTAATGGTTACTTAGTGGGTACTTAAGAGAAATTAAAGCACAGACTCTTCGTATCCCGTACCTGGAGATATAAACAGAGGCGCGTCATTCTCCTCACTTATTCACCAACACAAACCCAGAATTCTTCGAGAGAGAGACCAAGAACCCGCATCAAAACTTCGCAAATTCCCCGAGCATTGAGCTTAGAAACTGAGACTTGCCACTACGAACTCGT